CCTATTGCACCAACCACAGAAAACAGAAATAATGTGTGATTACCACTAAATAAAAAAAGTCCACGAACACTATCTACCACAATAGGCTGTCAAAACCACTATATAAACCAGCAAAAAAAAAAAAAAAAGCATAGTGCATTTTATGTTACAAAAGAAAGAGGTGAGTGAGTATAAAAAAGAAGAAACATCAGAGTCTACCTCTTGAAACTTGAAGTTGGCTTGGTATACTGGAATCTGGGAAAGACCAGCACCTTAGTTGACACAAGATGTGCAGTCACATCCATTGAAAGAAATGTTAGGGCATCTTTTCTGAGATGAAATCACAGGATCACAGAATATGCTGAGTTGAAAGGAACCCACAAGGATCATCCAGTCTAACCCTTAGCCCTGCACATGACCATCACCATAAGTCACATATCACCTGGGGAGTCTTTCTGCTGTACCTTCTGCAACTGGACTTGTCTATCTCGCATTGGCCTTTTTAGCCATCAGCATGCTTGTAGCAAGTGTGGGTAGAACCCTTCTCAAATCTTCGTTCGCGAAGTCTAGCCATGATGATGATAAGTCACATAATGGGTCTGAAAGTATCATCCAAGTACTTCTTGAACTCTGTCAGGCTTGGTGTTATGACTGCTTACCTGGACAGCCTGTTCCAGCACCCAACCACTTCACCTCTGAGTGAAGAACCTTCTTCTAAGATCCAGCCTAAACCTACACTGACACAACTTCAGGCCATTCCTCTGTCAATGGTCACAACAGAGAAGAGATCAGTGCCTACCCCTCCTCTTCCCCTCACAAGGAAGCTGTAGACTGCAATGAGGCCTCTCCTCAGTTTCCTCTTCTCCAGGCTGAACCCACCAAATCACCTCAGCTGCTCCTCATACAGTGTCCCATCAAGGCCCTTCACCATCTTTGTTACCCTCCTTTGGGTACTCTTTAACAGCTTAGTATCTTTCTTATATTGTGGTGCCCTAAACTGCTACAATATTCAAAGTGAGGCTGCCCCAGTGCAGAGCAGAGAGGGACAATCCCCTCCCTTGCCTGGCAGGCTACTTTGCCTGATGCCCCCAAGGACAGACTTGGCCCTCCTGGCTGCCAGGGCACTGCTGACTCATATTCAACTCGCCATTGACCAGGACTCCCAGATCCCTTTCCACAGAGCTGCTTACCAGCATCTCATTCCCCAGTCTATATATACATCCAGGGTTGCCCCATCCCAAGTGCAGAATCTGGCACTTTTTGCTTGGTGATTGCCCAGTCCTTTAATTTGTTGAGGTCTCTCTGCATAGTCTCTGGTTTTGTCATCTGCAAGTTTGCTTAGTATCACTTCTAGTCCTACATCCAAGTCATTAATGAAGATACTGAAGAGCACAAGGCACAAGAGGGAGCCCTGTGGAATGCCACTGGTGAGAGGTTATCAGTCTGATGTCACCCCATCCACTGTTACCCTCTGTGCTTAACCTGGGAGCCAATTGCTCACCCACCACCTTTTTTGTTTATCCAGCTGTATGTTGGACAGTTTGTCCAGAAGAATACTATGAGAATAATTCCCCAAATAATCTTCTCCATAACTTTACCATGCAGTGAAGTGAGACTAACAGGCCTGTAGCTTCCAGGTTCCTCCTTGGTCTTCTTGAGAACTGGGACAATGTTTGCCAGGTTCCATTCAGCTGGGACCTCTTTGGACACCCGAGATTGCTCAAAAGTCATGGAGAAAAGTTTTGATATGTCATCAGTCAGTCTTTTTGAGGATTCTTAGATCAATCCCATCAGTTCCCATAGATTTGTAGTTATTCAGCTGGAGCACCAGATCCCACACAGTTTCAGGGTCCACTGTGACGAGGTCTTTCTTGCAGTCATGGTACTCCAGCTCAGGGCACTGCGAACCTCTTTGCCCATCATCTTTTGAAGAGGGAGGCAAAGAAAGTGCTAAACACCGCTGCCTTGTTTCATTCCCTGTTTGTAAGGTTACTACTTCCTATTGACCTTAATATATTTGAAAAAACCTCTTTTTATCGTCCCAAACATTTCTGGCCAGCTGCAATTCCCGTTGAGCTTTGGCTACAGGAATTTTCTCCCTACAGTGGCAGCAGCATCTCTGAAGTCTTCTCATGTCACCTAGACTTGGGCATACACCTTCTTTTTTTGACACCTAGGACAAACACTCCTCTGCCATTGACTGTTTGTGAGTCATTTGACATGGGTTGGGTATCAGTGTGGCAGCTCTGGAGAGTAACCAGCCCCACAAGAGCTGTCAGAACCTGAGTTGGGTGGAGGTGCAAAACAGAATCTTACAACCCATGTGATTTAGTAGATTCCTGTCATTAAAATTGTCTGTGACCTGTTCTGGTGTATGAGAAACTTATGACAGCAAAGTGACAAGGAAACTGGGCTATACGTCCCTGGGGTAGACCAAACCTTTGTCACTTTAGTTGGCAACAGAACTGCTGAGATACATTTCCTCAGGGAGAAGAACACCGTGTTTGTTTGAACACAGCCATTTTCTTTAACGAAACCAGTATTTCTGCTTTCACAGAGTATAGGATTCATATGCTTTCATCTCTCTGTGGGGAATTTTCTTCACATGAATTACAATGGTATCATTGATATGGTGATTTTTGTGAGAAGGTCTTGCAGTAGGTTTACAAGTCAGGTAGAAACTCTAGCTAGCAATCACTTGAGCAACAAATAATATCTTTAATGTCCTGGAATGCCAGTGCTTGATATTTCAGGATCAGCTTTTATTTATCATTCTATATGCCATCTACCTGCCTCAGATGATCTGTTAGCTGTTCTTTACAGATGAAAGGCAAAAATAAAAGTCCTACTGTATTTTAGAGGCACTTCAAACAGATATTTTTGCATTGTGAATTCCACACTACCTTTAAAGAAAAAATCTTCTGAAACAGAAGAGAGAGTGAACCCTTGCTAATATTTGGTCACATCTCAGAGTCAGTAAAAGCCTATAATCATAGCCACATTGTGCCATTCCTCATGGGACAGGCTCCATTTTGTGGGACCTAACCTAAAACTGGGAAGGTGTCTGTTCCTCTACTCCTGAAGACAGTGTGACGTGACCAACGTCAAAGAGAAGTGCAAGAGATTTACCACTATTCTCAGTTACCAATGTCCACACTAAATAATCAGATGAACTGAGTCAGATGTCTCAAGTGCTCTGATCACACCAAGGCCAGTACATGTTGACTTTAATGGGTTTGGACCAAATTCATTCTGTCAGTGGAAATCTGAAACTGGATAATTTAGTAGTTTCCTAATGATCTATGATCTTTACTACTCCAAGAAAAGGGAAAGAAAGGGGAAGTGGAAAGATTTTCTCTTAATTGGTAATTGCTTCTAAGAGTGTTCCCTTCACTTTAAAGACGTTGCAGTACTTCATGTGCTTTGGCAGTATGGCTGAGGGTGAAACGCGTATTTGCAAGATTCATCTGTGGCCTACTAACACAGGAACTGAGTCTGTGTTAGACCTTGAACAACAGGTCAAATTTAGATTTCAAAATTTCATAAATGTGAGGTAACCACAACATAAAAAGGAAAACTGCAAGAACCAGAAGAAATTGATCAGTAATTTGCTCTGTCAAAACAAGTGTAAGTAAGAAAAGCACAACTTGTAGGTTGTTTTTGTTGTGTAATTCCATTTGAAAAGCTATAGGGAAAAAATTGCCCCTTCAAATATAAGGATGTAGATCTGTGACACAGGGCTCTCCAAAGCAATTTGCCCAATTCCCTTAGGTGTATTTGCCAACTGTACATCAAACTACTCACAGTTGCAAACTATGCTACAAATTTATCACATCATTTTGTTCTGTGAGGCAGTAAGTACCTACTAATGTAAGTTGTTCTAAATGAGCTATCAAAGAAAGAGGAGTAACTTTCTAAAACATCCTGGTGTTTTTCTCAAATTTTGTAGTGCTGCAGGTGTCTAAAATGTGTATCCATTTACCTAACTTATTTTACATTTATTTCATTAAAAAGAAGGAAAAACTTCATGTGGACTTTTAAATAAATTAATTCTAGTTTTGTACTAATTTATGAATTTGGTTAGTTATTAAGTTTTGCTAGATCTTAGATGAAGTTTTGCACACTTATAAAGATGTGTTCTTATCAAGCTAATTAAAATAATAAATCAATTTTAAAATGGCAGTTGCAAAAGTGCACCTATTACTCAACCTGAGACAGGGTCTAAGTCAGGATGCAACTAGAAAGTCAAGTGGCAGAAATCAAATGCATATCCATTACCAAAGTATACCTTTTTTTTATCACAGCTGTGTTTCAAACTGTTTCTGTGTTAAATGATAAATATTTTTATGTGTTAGATATGGTTTACCATAGAATAGGTTCATTCTGGGTGTCAAAGGTGGAGGTTTGGCTTTTTCAAATTTCTGCGCAATAATTCATATACAAATTCTGAAAATGGAACTGCTAAAACATCAGTGATTACTATACAAAGAAGTTAAACATTACAGCTAATTTTCTCACTGAAATCTAATCCAAGGATTACCAACAATGGGGAATCTGTTTTATTTGCATTTAATTTGTACCTTCACACTATTATCTCCCATGTTTTAGTTTCAGGAAATGTGGTTCAGGCTATTATAACCACATTTCATGCTGCAGTTGCACTGTTATTTGAGCTCTATGCTTGGAAATGACTTACTGAAAAAATAAAGGCAGCATACTTTATTTTAATTATACTAGAGCTGTGTCTAAGTACAGAGAAATAGTACAACATACATTTAATATGGAGCACAGATTAACAGTTTTATGAGGCATAAAATCTATCTATATCATTTTCTATTTACAAATCAGTTATATATCTTTCAAGAAAACAAATGCCTATAGAGTAAAAATGAATAAGGAGATTGTCAAACTAGCAATCATGTATGCAGTAAATAACATCTTAATTGGTCTAGAATGCTGGAGCTTGATTTTTTTGGAACTAGGTTTTATTTATTGATCTATATGGCATATTATTTTTGCAGTGATTTGTACAAGTCTATTCCCTTTCCTCGATATCAGATCCATGTATGGCTTTTTACTGCAAATCCCATCTGGGGAAATAGCCAAGTAACAGAAGAACAGTTGCTTCGGGAAAAGTCATCCATTTAAAAGCTTTCACTGAGGCAAGGATAACTTCATAGTTTTTACACTTTGTCTTCTGATAAAAAAGAAGGAGACAGAGGGGAAGGGAAGAAATGCTCTTATTGTGCAGTTGCCACATGATGCATACTTCAACAGGCCTTTACTCCTCACTGGTTTGGCAGCAGTAAGAAAACAAGGAAGGATCCCACGTACTCTGGGAAATGTCTATGTTCTTATGTTCCCTTTACCAGTGAGACTAGGAGACAGCAATGGGTATGGTGGCTTTTAGACATGTTCCACAAGTTCTGGATTTGGTTCTTCTCAGGAGAATCTGTGCTTAAAATCCCTGCGATGCTTCAAGTCAAGTGGCACTTCACCCCATGCTTTGCACACTGTCATGCAGCTGAGGACTGACAAATTCCATCTTCCTCTGCCAAGGTGTCTGGTGAGGAATTCTTCTCTTTGCTGAAACACAGGTGTTGACTGCTTAAGTCAGTACTAGAGGAAGAGGGAAATCTCTCAATGACTCTCTTGCTCCTTATAAAAATGTAGCTGGAAATGTCACCCTAGGGGCGTGTTTCTTCCCTTAAGATTATTAAAGACTGGCCCTTAAAAGTACTACTGCTGTAGATGATGGAGAAAAAAGTTTACAAACAGCAGTGCTGCACTTGCTTGGCTTCTGCATTTGTGAAACTGATGTTCTAAACATGGAAAAGATCGTGCTCCGATAGCTGTCATTGCTCTGGTATAACCTTAGCTGTTTGGAAATGAGCTAATTAAATTTTTTGGTGTGTCTTTTAGAGAATACATTTGCATTTGACATAATTAGTGGTACGCAGATCCAGCTATATCCAGGGGGAATCTCAAGACAACTGCTTTGCTGACTATTAGTGCCTAATTTCTGAATGTCAAACCCTGCACATCTTAATTTCTAGAGAATAAGCTCAATTGAACTTTCTCCCAGTTATGTAAAAACTGCTCAGATAAAACCAAGTGGACACCAATGTAATGAATGTGGTTATTAAATTGTTTCAACTGAAAGAACCCTATTCTTACACCATCATAATGGGAACAATTTATCCCCACTGATCAGCCTGTCTCTTTTTTCTGAGCTCTCTTTGATCTTGAAGCATATTGCAGTGGTGTGTCCTATTGAAAAGCAAAACTGGGGCAATTTTAATGCTTTTGTACCTTACCAGTGCTCTATTTTTTCGTTGTTTAAAAATAGCTGTTAATTATAAGTGCAGTTTAAATGTCTCAAGTGACCCAGAAATGCAGGTTGGAATGAGACAGATTGTGTGTCTCGTATAAAACAGATGTACTTTCACAGAGCAGGCTGAATTCAGCCCTCAATATGTATCCTTCTCTAAGGTTATTTCAGTCAGTTATTGAGTTTGTCTAGCATTAAGCTATAAAATCCCACACATTTTGAACAATGAAGACAAAACTTCAGCTATATTTACCTCAAAAATAAAAAGCCACTTTTTCTGTGTGAGGTATTTTGCTGGTAGTGTTTGATGGGATGGGGGCATTTCCCTTTGACTCCAGAGACTCAGGAGACCAGATACCTCATTTAATCTCCACCTCTTCTGTCTGTTGATGTAATAAGCCCATGCTTTTAAAGAACGTTTAGTGGTAATAAACTTTCAGGAGTTCTTCTTACTTTGACTGAATTAAGTACTCTATGAGAACGAGCCATACCCTGCAGATATAAAATTTCAATCTTTTTCCTGTGTTTTGAGTGGTTGTAAGTAGTCTTTTTTTTTTTTCTCTGCTGCCAACAATACATTTTAATTCCTGTCTGTGACGAGGTTCATCAAGAGAAGTCTGAAAAATAGCATGCAAATTAAATTAAGGTAAGTTAATCATTTAAATGAAGGGCCTGAACAAATCAGTTATTTATATATCTATTTATTTATATGTTGTTAGCAATTTACAGACATTTCAATTCAGCAAAAAGACTAGATTTCAACTTTCCAATTAGAATAGGCTGTCAAGTGCAATGAGTTTGATGAGCTCTCCCCTGGCCCTGAAGATCAGTGGTACAAATTTCAAAGCCATGAAACTGAATGGGTTAATAGTGAAGGAAGCCAAAGATCAACTGAGCTTGGATTATACATTCAGATGTCAGTCACTAAGAGAGACTGACACCCAGCTAAGGGTTGGATGTTGTGGGAAGGATTGGTCTGTGAGTGTGGAAGAATCCACCCGCTCTGCAGCTGAGCACTAAACCTCATCTAAAAGAACATTTTAAACTTTTTTCTTCTCTCTTTGGTTAATGAACAACACCTAAATTTTGCTTCTTCATATCACCTAAGAATAAGGCAAAAAACAAAACAAAACAAAACAAAACAAAGATAAAGATTCCCCTTCATACCGGATTCCTTGGCTCACAAAAACTTTTTCTTAAAAACCCAGAATTTTTTCATTCATATGCAAACACTTACATCCTCATCTAGTCAGATATGCACATGATAAAGAGAGAAATATGCTCATTTGATAGTGGGAGTAAGTATGCTATTTTGTTTTCCACTCTCCTGGAAATAATTTTCAATTAATTACTTAGAAAATTTCTTATTAATCTCAGAGGATATTAAAAGAATAAATTGGCTATGATATATTGCTATTCTGTGAGTCCAACTTCAAGACATGACACAGATCTCACTAGTTTGAAACATCAGTCCCTAAAAGACCTCACTGATTATATCTGCCTCTGGGAACTTTCACTTTTATGGAAACAACAGTGTTTCCTTTAGCTATTCCCACTTCAGCACTTCACACTACAACAGTGGAAAACAACGGATTTGATAGTAGCTGAAATGGTTGCACACCTATACTGGAAACAAGAAAACTAACATTTGGCAAAAAGGGTTTGTCAGTTATCACTATCTTTCCACCTTTTTGGGACTATATTCTGATGTATAAAGGATTTCTCAAGACAGAGATGTCTTTTTTTTCTACTAAAACTCCGTGGGCTTTGTTTTAGCCTGTAAATTTTCAGTTTTATTCAGTGAAGGACCAGGACTAAGCCTCAGTTTAAATACATGCATGAGTTAACTGCCTCTTTGACAAAGAAGTGCAAACTCATACTCAAACATATATTTAGAATTGAGTGCTATGCTGATGTGGGATGGACACACACTTAGAAGTTCTCTCTCAGTGAGAACTTTAATTTGAATTTAGGTGAAAATATTTTAACTGCACTCAATATCTCCTAAACTGTATTGGTAGGGGAATTGTACTCAGTGCAAGAAAGCTGTATTTCAAGCGTGGTTTGGGTCAACATTACTTTTTGTTTTTTAATTTTAAATTTCCTTTCTCTAATAAGTGACAGTGATGATGTTACCATACTAAAATCAAAGCCATTTGATATATGAGGTAATGATTGTTTTGTGGTGGCTTTTTGTTGGTTGTTTCACCTTCCCCCCAGCCTCCTCCAAAAGAATGGGCAATCAGCTTAGGAAAGATTTTCATGTTTCACTTTTCATAGAAATTGGCAAAACAGAAAGTTTGTGTCTCTGAAATGAACAAATATGAAAATAAGGCGAGTCACAACATGTGAGGGGAAAACACTGGGAAGCAACTATCCATGGAGGTAGAAGTCACAAAGACTTTTCTGAAATCCACAGGGAAGACAGCACAGATCATCTAAATAATAAACACACAGCAAAGAAAAGTAGGCTGCAAGGTTAAGAGGTAATAGTGATAGAGGACTCTGTTGCTTTAGATCTACCTTCATGGCAACAAGTCTCTGTGTGTAGTCCTAAACTGGCCTCTATTGAATGGCTGAACTCGCTTTATGGACTAGTAGTTCTATTCAGGCTTGGCAAAGTTCATGCAAACATGTTGAGTTTTTGCATGGTAACATCAATTAGACTTTTAAAAAAAGTATGTTAAACAATCTTTTAGTAGATTCCTATATGACAGGGAAAAATTCCCACTCTACTAGGGAATTCATTGTACTTGCTGGGACTAGTCCTGTTATGATTTCTCTGCTTATTTCAAACATAAAACAGAACAGTTGTATCTTGCATATCACAGAGAATATATATATGTATATAAGTGCTTTCTATATTCAGTCCTTGCATTTACTGTCATAAATTGTAATGAGTGAACCTCAAATATTTGGAGACTTTTTTAGATAGGGTCTCACTGATTTAAATATCCATGATCCCTCCAATGAAGTCATCTTTCTGCTCAACATCAAAAAAGCTTTTGCTGTCATCCTTTGTCTCATTTCAGAGACTACACATCTGAGGGCCTTTGGAGTAGATCCAGAGGAGTGGAGCAAGAACAAGGTCAGGGAAATACGACCCATGAAGAAACCCCAAACTGAGGCTGCTCAGCTCCTAGAAATGAAGACTGCCAACAAGCATGGTTATGGTGTTCCCCTGCTGAAAATCCTGGTAAAAAAGAGCAAAGAGATTCATCCTCTCCAAACAGAGAGAATAGAAAAATTAATTATAGGCTTGAGCTGCCGAAAGGTGGAATCAGGCTGGATGTAGCAGCTTTTTTTTCAGAGATGGTTATGGGAAGATACCACAACTATGACAGAGTAAGATGTAAAGGGAGATTAGACAGAAACAGTTTTTCTACTTTGGAGATGCATCTGAAGTGTTTACACACCCTTTGACTGTATTTTCTCCTAACAACTTTCCTTTTCCCTTACCAGTAACTCATTGCATTTCTTCCTACTCTAACACTTCCAAATAAAGGTTTATTGCCTTCCATAAAAGGTATTTATCAGTGTGGTGCTTCTTTCCTATACTTCCACTTCCCTTTTGCAGTTTTAATCTCTCAGTTGCAGCTATCTATGAAGATGTAATCAATAAATGAAAATAAATTGAAAAAATACAATGTGAGGAGGTGAATTGGATTTTTGGTGGCCTGCCAGTTGGTCTTTGGATTTGTATTTACAAGTCTCTCATAATCAGCTATTTCCTGATTTACATCTTGTACTCAAACCCAAACTGATGGTCTTAAACTTGGTGTCAATGTTTTAGCAATAGCTACGTGCATAAGAGTTTTGTAGTTATAACTGCTTTATTTTATATTTTTCTGACAAGAATAACATTTTGCTTTCATTTTTACCCACAAGTTCCTTGGCTTTTACAGTGATGAGGAGCTTGGAGACAATTTCATGCTTACATTATGCTAAATCCAAAACTGTTTCATGTAAACTAAATAAACTCTCCTCACATGAGGTACTCTCCTTCCCAGAGAGTGTCCTAATGGACTAGCTTCTTTTGGTTGTCTTTAATTCTTCTCCTTTGCTTTTTTCATCATACTTTGCCTCTTGCTCTCTAGTTTGATGAATTTTGTTCTTGGTGATAGACCTGCTTCAATAAAAAGATAAGAAAATATTCTGAATAAGGGTTTGCATGGTAGATAAGGCATTTTTTTTTTCAAGAAGGAGGGCTTTCAATAACAGAGGCAGAAGATAGACTTCAGATCCAGTGGGCTTCCCATCACCAAGCTATTGTAGAAATGGGAAGGAATACCACCTCTCCATTTCCCTGCAAGGAATGAACAAACATTATGCTTTTGGTGGTGGTTAGTTTTTTGGGTTTTTTTGACCCAAAACTTGTGATAATAAATCACAACCATAGAAATTTTAATAACTATAACAGGAACAAATACTTATTAGGAGAAGTCAAGTCAATGATTAGCCATAATGGTGCGCAGACATTGCTGTCTCAGGCCCTGGGTGGAGGCCAAGGCAACGAGTCTGTAACATGCTGTAATCTTGGACCATACCGAACAACATCTGCGGTTTGATTAAAAATATATTTAGTTACATGCGTACTTTCAAATTCTTCTATGCAGTGGATTTATCATTACAGCTTTGTCCCATTTCCCAGGGCTCACGCTTCATTCTCCCACTCGCTGCATCCCATGGCTGCTACCAGCACTGGTACAAAATTACAGTGCTATCACCCACAGGTTTGTCAAATGTTGTTTCTCACCACGAAGAGAGCTGTGGGCAGAACTGCCAAACAGATGCTGTTTATTACCTCTTTTACTGTATTTGCTCTCTTTGAGAGCAAAACTAGAGAAAAAATGTCAGTAAGTTACACTATGGTTCTGTAAATTATATCCTATTCAAAATGGCCAGGAAATTTTTATTGCCCATATTTTGTGCCATGCTACCCTTTGAAAAAACTGATGTAAAGCTCAGGGTATTTTCCTAGGTGCTAAATCCACACTAATCATTGAAGGGTGGAAAAGAAGAAATTTAAATTTCTGTGAACTACAGATCCATTAAAATACTCAGGGATTTAGCATGATTGGACCTGCAGGTAACCAACTAATGGACTAACTCTGTAGCTAGTGATAAGGAAAATGATTCTACTACAATTCAAGTGCTTCATTACATCCTGCTGCAAGTCAGCATTATACATATTTTCTAAGTTTCAAAATGGAAAACATTCATGCAGTCTAAAGACAAAAGCTTTATGTACATCTTTGTCCACAGGAGATTGTGATACACTCTTTGATATTTTCTTGTGCACTGAAATTAGAGGACACTTTTGTTCTGTCACAATTCCTTATTGCCACTGAATATTTGGCTGCAGGAATCCATTCTCAGAGGTTAGTTTAGTTAATACATAATTGTAAATTAACTTAGTTGATTTAGTTATTTATATTACTTGTGACTTTTAACCACTATGTGTCTGCATGTAAATATTCAAGAAACAGTCCTGTTTCCACAAGATTAGAGAAGATGTAAGCCTGATACAGTGGACTTGTTTCAGTTTGATTTGCTGACTTGAGAAACTTAGGAAAACTTTGCATCAACCATATAACTCCTTTGTGCCTAACTTTCCTTTCCTTAAAATTATGATAATGGAAACACAGAATATCTTGTAAAGGGGTTCAGACAGAGATAAAAAATAAAAGCAAAGTGATAATACTTCCATAAAAGCAGTTGGGGTTGGATTACTGAGCTTCCACAAGATATAAATGAAGATTTTTTTACTTCTAATCACAGCAGTAGCTAATTGCAACAAGGCTATGATGAAAGTAATAGGAAGTTTGGGAAGATTTGATGTGGCAGTGTGAGGGGAGACTGAAAAGATCAAATAGATTAGAGGGCAAATGGAATTAAAATTTGATTTTGTTCTCCCTGGAGTCATGGGCAAAGCTTTCACTGACTTTATGAAGCATAAAGATCTAGATTCAGAGGATGACCAGAAAATATGAACACATATACATGAATAAATGGTATAAAGGCATTCAATCTGTTAAGGTAAAGGAGTGTCCTGTCAGCGAAACTGCAGTATAGGCTACTTACAACAGAGAAATTCCTGTCCTTATCCAAAACCTCTTACATTTCAGCACTGCACAAAGACCAACAGATCAAAAAAGGAAGGAAAGTTCTAAAGGTCAGATTATACACAACACAGAAAAAAGTCCTAAAAGCTGGGAAAATTAGTATATTATAGGACGTGACTTAAATCTAGAATTGTTTAGAAATTAAGCCTAGAATTTTGTATAAATTACTCCCAAGGTAAATTTTCTCTTTTGAGACTTAATGCAACTTTGGCTGTTTTGCCACTATCAAGGACTGAGAAGACATTTTCACCTATCTTCTTTTCTCATACATCCCTCAAGTCAGCAGGCAGTGTGCTTCTCTTCTGCTCTTTTCAGACAGTTTAGGTATAATGGATTTATTCCAATCATGAAGAACAGGAGATATGGCAGATATCAGAGTTAGAAATGTAATAAAATGAGTTATTTACTATTTCACTGTTTCCTATCATCACCGTTTGGCTCCTACATAAACTTTTCATTTTTAGACTAACTCTTGAAAGCTCTTAGTTTGTGTTGATGTCATGGGAGCTTGGATCTTACACGTATAACTGCTTGAAGTGTGTGGGACTGCCACACAGTCAGGTATTTCCATACAACAATTGTTACAGTTTCTCTCTGTCAAGGGTATAATAACATCTGAATCAGGCACTTGGATTAGAGTCCAGGGAAACAGATGTGTCCTCCAATACATTACATTATTATCTTTGGATTTCTCCCTTTTAAAGTTACTCAAAGAAGTTTTAAAATATTTTTTCCTGCAGCATTTAACACAAAGAAATGTTTTTTACATGTAATTTGTACATTGAAGGGGATCAAAAAAAGACTTGTTTCAATGACACATAAATAGGTGATGATAATGCTTTGGAATTATATTTGTAAAAACCTTACAGTGAAAGTTTCCAAATTGTTTGTGTGGGAGGAGAAAGGAAGAATAGTTAAACTAACAGTTAAAGTGAAACTACCCAAGAGTCTGAATTTTACAACATTTATCTTTACCACAAAACTGTAGAACTCATTGCCACAGAGTGTTAAGTTCAAAGGTATAATGGAAAACAGATGGGAATTTGATAAATTTACTGGGAATTGATTTGGTAATTGAAGGCTGAAATTTGCAGGTCTCAGAATCACCTAGGTGATTATGGAGCCTAGATCCCTTATGTATATGGTGAAGGATGTTCTTGCTTTTCTGCTAGGAGTCTGGCTTTCTGTAGGAGTCTGGCTGCTCTTGGAAAAGGAACTGCACAGTGCTTGAGTCAGTAAGGTCCTTCTGAACCCCTTACACTGTGCTGTCTCTAAACCCATTGAAACCTAAATCCACATAAGGAGATAGGTGCAAGGATATCCTGTGGGGACAGCAAGTAGTGGGAAGTAATACATGGTGTGTAATTTGGAGAAGGCAGAAATCAATATTCTCTTGAAGAGTGTGTGGTACCTTATGTGAAGGAATAGGCTTGAAATGATAGAAGGGGTTTTAAATTACTTGCTCACTGATTTTGAACAAGGTGTCTCCTTCTGTCTCCTTGCCTTTTTCCTCTCGTTTCAAACAACTTATGGAACTTGACAAACTTTAAAAACTAGGGGATCAAATGCACAAGGGAAAGAGGGTGAAGTCTCACTGAGTAAAGGATGGTAGGCAGAATTTTAAAGATGAAATACAGTTGATGAGACACAAATATCTTTTAGCTGGAAATAAAGACCACTATACTTTAAGTGCGTTCATCCAGTCCTAGAAAGTTGAAGACAAAAGGGAGGGCAATATTTTTCAGAGAGCTGGGTACAGCTGCCAGAACACTAGACCTCTATGCAATCAGAAAGTAGAAGTGGAAAATAACTTCCCAGAATTTGTCTCATTTTAAGTAACCATATATTAAATAATGCTGATCATCAGGAGGTTTTCACAAGTATAAGCAAATCACTGCCTTTCAGTTGGTAGCTTAGGAAGAATGTTAGCTTAGATCCTCCTAAATATGCTGAGGTAACCAACTGAGCATTCAAGAAAACAAGTTTTGAAGGCAAGATACTGCTTAAAAGTTACCATAGTATTTGAAATGCTAAATAATTTGTTTTACAGAACTCTGCTTATGAACAAAAAGAAAAGAGTGCAAAACCCACCTGGAAATATTAGGATAGTAGGCAATTAGAGACTGATTTCACAGTCTTTGTGAAACCAGCTTCACTGAAGACATGTGAATATGCCAAAGATTGTGAGTCTGGGTCTGCAGGAAGAATACGAAAATTAATGGGAGATCCAGATATAAAGGGTCCTCAGGCCAGAAAAAAGTTGGGAAAAATTTTCAGGCCAGAAAAAAGTTGGGAAAAAATTAATAACTTTTTGCAAATCATACCAGAGGTATTTCCTACTTTATTATTTAAACCCAGAGCCAGAATGAATGTATCAGCTGTCCCATATAAACCTGCTGAAGTTCTGCTTAGTCCAGTTACTAACCATTATACCTGGTAGACTCAGGAAAATGTACAGACTGAAATCTGATCCACCTAAAGAATAATTCAGTGCTCTCAGGCTGTTTCTAAGGTTTCTTCTTGGGAAGGATCTCTTCAAAACTGGAGGGAGAAAATAGGAATTATACAAGGCTATTCATGTCATTTGTGAGAGAAGAGGTAGTAAAACAAAAACTCACCACTCATCAAAACTCATGTAATTCCTATGTGTCATTTCTCTTCTTTCAAGAAAAAAAAAAAAAAGTTTGATTGAAGTACAGGCTCTGACTCTGATGTACCCTGATGCTGCACTGGTTTTACAAGGGTGC